ATGGGGAATGGAGGGGGAAGGGCATCCTGTGCCCGTGCAAAGGGTGTTTTTTGGGATGGGGAATAGGGAATGGGGAGGGGGAAGGGCATCCTGTGCCCGTGCAAAGGGTGTTTTTTGGGGCTGGTTGGAGATTCTGGCGTTGGTTCCGAGCTGATCCGGCAACGGGAAAAAACTCCCTGGTGGGAGGAAGAGCCTGGAAAACTCATCCTCAAGAGTTTTCCTCCCGTCTCCTTGGGCGTCCCCGGAGGGTCCTGCCTGCCTGGAGGACCCAACTGCCTCGTGGGGTGACCCCAGAAGGTTGTTTGGCCACCGGAGCAGCCCAGAAGGTGCCCCCCGGGGGTCCCCCCGTGTCCCGCGTGGGGCAGCAGCTCCAGGTTCTCAACCTCCAGCCCAGGCTCCTCTGTGTTTTTTGCAAACATTGCCTCGGTAATTGCCCGGCGTTTCCTGCTCCACGGGGCGGTCACGAGGCTCAGGAAAGTTTGCTGAGTGACTAAGTCACCGTGTCCCAACCTCTGGCAGCAGGTCGGGAATGTCCCCAGGGTCCTGCTGCCTCCAAGAGGGGACACTTGTTTTCCACCAGCTCCTCCCAGTCTCTTCCCTGAGCGGGAATGGGGGAGGGTTGGGGGGTCCTGAGCCTGTTCCCAGGAGGGTGGGAAAGCCCTGGGAGGGGTGGAAAGGGCTTGGAGGAGATGAGGGAACAACCTCCTGGAAGTTTTTGGGGCAGGCAGAGCAGCCCTGGTGTTCACCTCCATCCCCCTCCTGCCTGGCCTGGGGATTGGGGCTCCTTGGGTTTCTCTCTCAGCTCCTGGTGGGACTTTGTTTGCAAAAGAAGGTTCCAAGTTCCTCCTGCCCTCCACTTCCTTCTTCAACCCCAGATCCATCCCCTTTCCCTGCTGGAATTTCCTCAAACCTTCTCATCCCACCAGGAAGCAGCAGGTCCAAGGAGAACCTGGCCCAGGAGACACCACATTTGGAGGTCCCACCACCCCCCACACCCCCCTGGGGACCCTTCCCAGCCAGGAATAAAGTGGGGGGACACCCCACAAACCCTCCCCTTGGAGGTGACCCCTGCAGGGGTGAGGACATCCCAGGGAAGGGGAACCACCTCCCCGTGGCTGGAGGTTCATGCTCCAGGTGCTGCAGGGTGAGAACAGGTCTGACAGGTGCTCTGGTTCCCCCAGCCCGTGGTTTATGCAGCACAGAGAGAGATGAAAGGTTGTTTATTCAAGGGTTGTGGCCCTGAGGGAGCCCAGGAACCCTCATCCCTCTGAGCAGCACCTGGATTGGGAGCTCAGCACCCGGGTCAGGGGGTTGGTTCTTCCCTTCCTTGCTCTGCTTTGCCCCTTCCCCGAGGGGGAAAATACATGGGGGGGGTGTGGGGGGTGAATGGGCACGAGGCTTCAAAAGTTCCTGCTGCTGGGGAACGTCCAGAGGGATGTTGGTCGTGGAGAAGGTGAGGACTCAACGTGTGGAGCTGCTGGGATTGGCATCGTTCCTGGTGGAGCTGATCCTGGGCTGTGCTGGGACCACTGCCTCCATCCCAGAGAGCTGGGGGAGCTGCTGGTGGGGCTGCTGGTGGGGCTGGTGGTGGGGCTGGTGGGGGAGCT